TTGTATTTAGAACCAGAGACAGGGAGTGGTCCAGTGGTGGGCTCAAGGTTGACTCAGCCTTCCATCCTTCCGAGGTGGGTAAAATGAGGACCCGGATTGTTGTTGGGGGCAATATGCTGACTCTGCAAACCGCTTAGAGAGGGCTGAAAGCCCTATGTTGTGAGAAATGAGACAGGAAGATGAGCCCTGGTATTATTTCTAGCTGAGGAAATGAGGTTTACAGCTTTTTGCAACAAGCTCTCTAATTCCTAGCAGGTAAATGCTCCCATTAGCATTACTTGCAGCCACAGAAAGGATGTGCGGTGTTTCTCCTGCTTAGCTTTGACCTTGAAACGTCCCTCCTTCCATGTTTCTGGTTATTTGTTTTAACATGTTTCTGGTTATTTGTTTTAAAATAAGGCAGGCAGTTATTCGGTGTGCTAAGTTAGGCAGATGGACCAGGGATAAACCTCAATTTAACCTAAATTCAATTCAAAGAGAATGGAACTAACTTAAAACAGTCAAGGAAAATTTCATAAGTAGGTATTTGCAGATGTGAACAAGGGGGCCGATGAGGAACTTATGTCATAATACCAGAGTACAAATCTTGAGATTTATGTACTTCCATGAAATATTGGAGTGCAAAAGCATATGTTTCTTGGTGTCACTGTGCATGTGCCATCATTTGTCTGTGGCTTGCTATGGATGTTCCTCTTCACATGTTGGGGTCCCCCAGTTTCACACCATCTCTACTTTTAAACATAGAGCCTGAATTCTTTATCATGTCCCATATTTTCTTGCCGTTCATAGACAGAAGGGAAAACTTTTGTATTAGTGAAAAGGAGCATGCAGGATGTTGTTCCATGCCCTCCTTCACCCACTTTCATTAGGTGGTAAAATTGTCTATTTGATAAATATGAAAGGGGCAGAAATATGGATTAAAAAGGGGAAAAAAGAAAAAACTTAGAGCTGGGCTTATAATGGTCTTGTACTATGCATATTTTAAGCAAGGCAAGGTAACTAAGAAGCTCCCTCAATGGTTCTTTAAACTTACACCAAGGTATTAATTTGCAGTTGAAAATTTAGTGCCACTGTGGACCTTTTCAGTACCCTAAAACAATTCCTGAAAATCAATGAATTGTTTTATGTGCTATCGTGAGCTATTATTCACTATAGTTTTATATTCATAATTAGAGTTGATATGGCACAAAATTCTTAGCTGTCATTCTTTCTCTCCCCCACTGCTGAACTCAAGTGCTATTCAACCATCCAGAAAATTATACTGGCATTAAAATTTGCTATTCTGATGGCAGATCCCGCGCCTGCCTGCCTCATGTGTGTTCTCTGGCAAATGGTGGGGTCTTGAATAAGGCACATTA